GGGTTGCCATCTGGGATCTAAAGACTTATAAAGATTAAAAAACTCACAAAATAATAGTTTAAACTTAATTTTCTTCATTAACTGTTAGGGATTTGTTGCCACACCAGTTTTCCTTTCCGAATAGCCATATAAAGTGAACAATCCTTGATATGATTCTAAATGCTTTATTCCACACATTTTTAATTGATTTTCCCCCCCACTTTTAACCACTGAATCATCGGTTAGAACGACTGTAATACCGAAACCTCTTACGAACATTGTAAATCGCATAAAGTTTCCCATTAATTTGAGCGTAAAATCTACCTTAAAGATCTGTGCGCCAACAGGTCACGAATTTGCAGTTGATACCCGATATCTATCAGGCTGCTGCTGATGGTGCTGCTGCTGCTGCGGTATCTTCCTAATCTCGTCAAGCATCAAAGTCGCAATCATCAATTCCGAGACATTATAAATGTCGCTCGTTTAACCCATCAAAGTCTATTCCCCTGCCTCTCGTACCCCCAGCCGTGCACCCATTGCTAGGAGAGAGACAAAGAAACTATACGACGAGGAGTGTTTTTTTTTCGGCAAAAGATTACGAGCGTGGAACAAAGAGATTCCCTAACACTCCCTCGCTTAGTCCCTCCCTTAGTACACCCCCCACCCACCCATCATCGAAGCCGTAACAATTACAAAGTCTGCTCTCCTTCTCCGACTCCGACTCCAACACCCCCACCCCCACTCTCACTTCGACGTCTGCTTTTGGCGTGAAAGAGAAGAAGAACACAGCACAAAAACGGCAAAACCAACAAGAAAGGAAGAAAGTCTAGCTTTTGAAGACCGAGGCTGTAGGTACCCCTTGCGGGTAGAATCTTCCAATGATATACATATAGTGAAAATGATCCAATGTATGCTGCATTTGTATTCATAGATTCGCTTGTACATATAGAAGGACAGGAAATACTTTCTGCCCAGCTAGGCCCGGCCTGAAGTACCCCCTTTAGAGGGTATCACACAGTTTTGTCGCCTTGTCGTCCGTCGTTGCCATCGTAATCGAGAAAAGAAGGGAAGGGAAGTGGAAATTGCGATTGTGATTCTGATTCTGCTTTTGATTCTGCTTCTGCTTCTGTCTCCACTCCAGCCACAGCTCCAGCTTCAGCTTTGGCTCCCTCGCCACTCTACAGTCTCCAGGTTTGTCAATCAGTCAGTCAGGCAATTGAGGCAGTCGGTCGGTTAGTCGGTTAGTCGATGCGACAAATTTACGGGGGACTGCTGCTGCGATTTTGGGACGCGGTACTGCGACTGGGGGTTTGAGTGCATGGCGCGTGTATTAGATGATATGAGGTCATTCACTGCTGTTTATACCGAAATTTTTTGTGTCTCGCCGTCGCTGCTGCTGCTGCTGCTGCTCCTCTGCTCTGCCCTGCCCCTGGATGACGCTGCGTTCAATATACAATTTTGTTGTTACTGTTATGGTTCTGTCGGAAGAGCGGCAGAGGTAATGGAAATGGAAGTGGAACTGGAACTGGAATGGCAGAGTCGAAGCAGAGGGAGCAGAGGGGCTGGCTGTAAGCAATACCCGAAACCCCAAACTGTTGCCCTGCTTCTACATTTCCGACATCCTCCTTGCCCATCGTCCGTGTGTCTGGCCCTCTGCGGCCGGAGGGAGGGGTGAGCCGCTGGGCAGAGTAGGTGGCGTCGGGCTCTTTTGTTGTAGACTTAGCTTATGTACAGTGGGGCCAGGAAGATCCGCACTATAGAAATAAGTGAGGGAAAGCTATTGGGCATAATTTGTACATATGTTCTTGTCTTTAATCAATGGATTTATGAAAGATATTGCTTAGAGAGGAAAAACTGAATGAACGACAGTGGATTGAGTTCCTCTGTCGTTGGCGGCAAACAAATCTTCGGATATAATGGATAATGAAATCATTGGATCTATAAAGATTTGCGATTAGAATTGCAACCACTGTGCAGCTTTGTCGTTGGCTGTTCAATGACTTCTGTTGAAACATGAATCGACTACACAGTCGACGTCTCCTTCTCGTACTTCTAAAGCCCGCAGGAGTCAAGGAGCTGTGTGTCGAAGCTTCCAGCAAACACACACAAACATCCACACACAGAGAGAGACCGAATCGGAGACGAGAACCACCTAATGCGCTTCCTCTTCAACAAATTCTTTACGACTGTCTGTCTGCGGCCCCCTTTTGGGCGAGACCGACCTCCCTCTCACTCTGCGGGCCCCCTCCTCGCTGTCTTTCTTCTTCTTCTTCTTCTCCTTCTTCTCCTTCTCTGTAGCTGTTGGTCTTCCTCGCTTTCGTTCTCCTTCTGCTTCTCTGTCTGTTCTTCTACTACTCCTTCTTCGGGTTGGGGTTCGGGTTCGGGTTCGGGTTCGGCTTGGCTTGGTAAGGGAGCCGTCGGCGGCAACCAAACCCTAAGCATGTCCCCGAGAGGTCCATTCTATCCAGCCCATCCCTCCGAGACACTCCTGATCCACCTCTTGCTGCTTACCATTCCCCATTCCCCCCAACCCCCCTCTCGTGGTGCTTCTGTTTCCCCGCTTTGACAGTTGTCGGTACATTGGACTCATTTCACACACAGACAGGCAAACACACACACACACACAAAGAGCTATGGCAAAAGTATGTCTGTGTCGGCGTCGCCTCATTTAGGTTCTTCTTTAACACACCCCCTCGAACCCCTAGCCCACCCACTACCGCCCACACGCCCCCCCTGGCGCTGTTTCTAAAAACAAAACTCTTCCTTCTGCCGCCGCCACAGCTCTGTCGCCTCTGCTGCTGCTGCTGCTGCCGCTTCTGCTTCTTCTTCTTCTTCTTCTACTTGTCGTCGTCGTCGTCGTCTACTTGCGCTCTGCTTCCTTTATTTGCAACATACATTATATGCCGTGAGAGAGAACAGCAGCAGCCGCGAAGAGAGCCGAAACTGAGAGCTTCCCTCCCGCTCGCACGCTTGCAATCGCAATCGGCAAAGTAAATGGAAAGGCCGTCCAATCCCTGCCCTCCCCTCCCCCAACCGTCGTCATCCAGAAACAGCACTAAACAAACGGAAAGTGAAAATTTGCTCCACTGCCATCGTCACACACAGAGAGAGCGCACGAACGCGAACGCGAATGCGAACGCTCTCTCATTCTCACACACAGCCGTACATACACTTGCATTGAGTCATAATCGTGCCGATTGCAGCAGCAGCAGCAGAAGCAGCAGCAGCAGCAGCACCAGCATCAGCATCGGCAGTGGCAGCGACGTCAGCGCCGAATGCTCTTGCCAAACATACTCCTGCTCTCTGCCTCCCGTCTCGTCCTGCTCTGGCCACCGACCAGATGATCGTTTAGCCCTTTTGAAGTCGTTGTCTGACCCATTTGGAGAGCCGCAGTGCTGCCATCCTCTCTTCCCATGGGGGGGCGGTGGGCTGTGGAGGAGAGCACTGGGTCTGGGTCGTGCTTGTGATTGTGATTGTTGTGGATCGTGTTTTGTCTGTGGATCTCTGTGGATCTCTGTGGATGTGAAGTGATCATTCCACAGGGATTTCATGCCTGTTTCTTGTTTCTTGTGGGGCAATGAGGGAATTGAAGAAATCTTCTCTAGGGTCCCCCCATCGGCTGCTAACCAAACGGAACCCCGCGAGAATTGCATGTAAATGTGCATGTGGCACACTAAATCCCCACCAAACATGCACACGCACACAAATGAGCAAACAAGTAGGTGCAACAGCACCAGAAGAAACATAGGAGGAGAAGGCGGACTTGGAGGCGGAGGAGGAGGAGCAGGAGTAGCGAAGACCAGATGAAGCAAAAGAGGAGGAGGAGGAGAAGGAGGAGCAGTAGAAGTAGATGTAGAAGGAAGAGGAGGAACAGCAGCAGCAGCAGCGAGCGCCAAACATTTTCGCTCTCTCGCTATTACGTTTGTTTGCCATTTTACACTCTCGCAATGTTTTCGCAATACTTGGCGCAGCCAACAGAGCACACCAGAGCGGGGCACAGCCGAGCAGTCAACACAGACAGCAGCAGCAGCAGCAGCAGCAGCAGCGGCAACGGCAACGGCAACGGCAACAGCAGCAACAGCAGAGATAGCAACAGCGACCGACAGAAGCTCCAACAACATTCAGTCGGCGCGAGTCGAGCGAGCGAGCCCCATTCAGAGCCCCATTCGCCGATTGCTTTGCTCATTTCTGTCTGCCTTTTACACCTGCATGTGCGTGTGCGTGTGCGTGTGCCTTGGCTGTGCGTGTTCGTGTTCGTGCTCGTGTTACTCGTGCTCGTCTTGGGGTTCGGGCTCGGCTCCCCCAGTATTTGGGTATTGGTGAGTGAGTGGGGCGCGCGCGCGCTTTTGCGAGACGAGACACAACACTGCCTCCGTTGCCGCCATCCCGACGCTGACGCCGACGTTGACGTTGACGTTGACGCTGACGTTGACGTTTGTTGTTTGCGACCAACAAACAGTGGCAGCGGTTTTTGTGCTGACTTTAGATTTTAGTTTCGCTGATACCGTAAGAGATAAACGACGTGCCGCGCGGCAGCTCCCCCACAAAGCAAGCGGCAAGAAGCGACGAACAGCAGCACCAGAAAGCGAGCAACAAGCAAACAGAGAGACAGACCGCAGAGTCATGCCCCAAGCGTGCTGAGCACTTGTGCAACATAGAGTTAAATTTAGTAGAGAACCTACTACTACCCACAACAACAACAGCAACAGCAGCAACAACAGCAGCAACAGCAACAGCAACAATAGAAATGTCTCTCTATGTCTATGCCGCACCGGCAACAGCAGCGGTGCCCCTGCAACTCTGGCACTCAGTGCCCCAAAATTAGTCAAACATACGCATTGTAGAAAATCGTCCAGAATCTGTGAAAAAAACGCAAATCAGAGCCGAATATTTTTTTGCAGTTGAAAATTGAAAATACCTCAAAACAAAAAAAAAGGTACAAACAAAAATAAACAGCAAACAGCAAACAACAAACAAAAAACCCACAAACAACGAACCGAAAGTGCAAAAAACAGTCTTAGTGCAATTTTAAAGAATAGTTTAAATAATTTTTGATTTTTTTTTTGAGTGGGAAAGAGAAACGGGAACGAGGAAAAACCCGCTGGGCAGAAACCCGCAGGAAAAACCATGTCTAAAGTGTAACACGCTGCGTATACGCAACAATTTTTTTTGAAGAAGTCACGCATACGACGCGTTGTGCAAAATGATTATGGTGCAACATTTGGTGGCTGCCACGGCGCACAATTTCGCCAGCCAGGCGGCAGCCCTAGCCAATGTCTCGAGCTCCAGTTCGAGCTCTTCGCTGTCCTCCTCTTCATCCCTATCCTCGTCATTATCCTCCTCTTCGTCGTCGTCCTCCTCATCCTCTTCGTCATCCAGTTCGTCACTGTCCTCGGCCACGCCCACGCCTGTGGCATCACCAGCGGCAGCAGCTGTGCCAGCTCCAGCAGAGGCCCCGCCAGCAGCAGGCGAGACCCCAGAGGCGGAGGAGCCCATGGAGGAGGCTGCCAGCCAGGAAGAGCCCAAAACAGAGAAAGAGGTAGAGAAGCTGGTAAAGCTGGAGAAGCAGGAACGGGAACCAGAACCAGGTGCCATAGATGATACCGAGTCAGGGTCGGCGCGGCAAAGTCCAAGTCCAGCTGCGTCTGCGTCTGCGTCTGCGTCCGCTGCCAAGTCCCAGGAGCTAGCGCCAGCCCAAGAAGAGATCAGCGCCCCAGCGGTCGCCGTCGCCGTCGCGGCGGATGAGGAGGAGGAGGAGACCGAATCTCTGGCACCGGACTGCCGCGAGTTCAAAGTGCTGTACAACCATCTGAGGCAGCAGCAGCACCACCAATCCTCCCCAGACAAAACTCGCAGCACCCTGGACGATGTCTCCAAGATCCTGTGGGAGCGCAAGCAGCAGCTCCAGCGGAGCTCCGTCATTACCAGCAACGTGCAGGCCGCCGCAGCAACCCAGCTCCTGCCGCAGCCACAGCACAGGGATCCCGAGGAAAGCCAGCAGCAGCCCATGAGCGACATCGAGGACGAAGAGACCCTCGAGGATGCGGACGAGGCCGAGGCCGATGCGGATGTCGAGGCGGACGCAGACGACGAGGAGCTCCTCGAGCAGTACCAGGACGGCTACGACTCGCCCCTGGATCTGTCCCTGAGCAGCGCCACCAGCGCCGCCGCTAATGCAGCAGCAGCCGCCTCTGCGGCCAGTCGCCGGCGGGGACGCACCTACTCCGGCACGGAGTCGGACGATTCGGCCCAGTGCGAGCGGGCGAGGATGCGCCTCAAGCCGGAGCGGAAGGCGGAGCGTTCGGCGGCCTACAAGAAGAGCTTGATGAAGCGATACTGTAAGTGTGACAAAGGGCACGGGGGCTGGAATCTAATCTTATTCTATTCCGAAATGAGTTAACCTTTGGGAGCCTTCTAGTTTCCGGAAAAGCCATGTATTTTTGGCAGTTTTCATTTTGGTTAATTTCGTATTTCTGTGGAAATCCCGTACACGGTGGGGGATTATTTTCCACTTCCCTTTCGAAATACATGCTTAATCCAAATAAATTTGTTTTTGTTTCCTTTCTGTTTTGCTTACTTCATGCCACTTCCGTGGCACCTACTCCCACTGCCGCCCCCCTCGAAGGCCTCTCTCTGGCCGACAATAATTGTGAAATGAAATGTCAATTTGGCAACAACAAAATATGTTTATAGCCGAAAAAACAATGCAAGGGGCGATCCAGGGGCGGATGGGGGGCAGCAGACAAACAAAAAATATAAAGAAAAAGCCAAAATAAACATTATTTAAAATAGCGCAATTTCCGCCGGCGTCGCAGCGGCGTCGCTGCCTAAGCACAAGAAGCAAAAGCAGAATCTGAATCCTAAGCAGCAGCAGCGGCAGCAGCAGCGGCAGCAGCAGCGAGCGCCCAGCGTCTACGTCAACGGCTTCGTAACAGTTTCCTAACCCACCTCAACAATTTTATTGATTGCTTGCTGGCGGCAGCAGAGGCAGAGGCAGACAGCAGAGAGCCAGGCAGAGGCAGAGGAAGAGGGCAGAGAGAGAGAGAGAGCAGAGCAGAGCAGCAGCTGGTCTATCCAGCTTAAGCGAGTGTAAAACTATGGCGGAGCTCTCTCTCTGTCTCTCTCTCGGCTGCATTTGGCTATAGTTTTGTAAACTCTCTGTCTCTATGTCGCTCTCTCTCTCTCTCACTCTCTATGCATGTGCATGTGTGTGTGTGTGTGTGTGGAATAGTTTTCCGCTCCCTCTCCCGCTGCTACTGCTCCTGCTGCCGCTGCTGCTGCTCTAAAACTGCCAAAGCTCTGCCAACTTAACTGCTAAATGACTTGAAGGGGTACGGGGGGGGGAGAGGAGGGAGACTGCCACTTGCTACATACTCCAAAGCGCCCCCCTTCCACTCACACGCACATACATTTATATATATGTATATATACTATCTTTGTGTGTGCCATGGGACATGGCCTGGCCTGGCTCGTAACCCTACAACCAACAACTTGTTTCCTCTATTTGACTTTTACACGGGGCGTCGTCGTCGTCGTCGTCGTCGGCGTCATCAGCAGTTAGCAGAGTTACTGGCTCCCCCAATTCCCACTGATCCCCCCATATCTCCTATTGCTCTTGGCCTGGCCCAGAGATTGCCTCGGTTTTGGCTTTTTGCAACGCAGCTTTTACTTTGATTTGGCCAGAGCCCCGTGGCTCCAGAGATACACACGAACCCGACTAGAGGCAAATGTTTCTGCCAATTGCAGTTCTTGACCAAAGTTCTAGTACGCTCCGGCGGAAATATGTATGCTCCTCTCGCTCACAGCTCCCCAAAGTGCAAGATGGTGAAGGATTTATGGGGCACTGCAGATGGGGGAGATGCCACATTTTAAATGGTATCCAGAAAAACGAAAAGTGCCAGAAGCAATTAATGTGTTACAAAACCTCTCCAATAGAAGGCATGCATGTACTCAGTCGTATTCAGATACAAATTTATATTTATATATTGCATAGTTTTACTCGCAGTCCAGTCCATTCCATTCATCTGTTGATAATCCAATAAGATTTGAACCCCTCCTAGGCAACATCACTTATGCAAACGCTTAGCAAATCCCCAATCGCTTGGAACTGTGTTCCCACCTGTATTTAATCTCCCCTCCCGCCCCTTCAGCCCCCCCCATTTTGGCATCTTTCCGCTCCACAAGATGGAAACTTCTGTTGAAATTGGAGTGTCTCTTCTCTCGCTCTCTCTCTCTCTCTGTCTGTCTTTTATTTGAGTTTTGTTTCTATTTGATATATTTTTCTCACAGAAATTCCTAGATGATATATATTTTCCGCTTACAACATTTTCATCTTTTATTTATTTATTTTAACCTTTTTCTTTTGCCCCTTGTCGTATCTGTGTGTGTGTGTCGTCGCTCTGTTTGCGATTGTGTCTCTGTGTGTGTGTGCGTTCCTCATGACTTCATTTTGTGGGGCTTTTGTTTTGGTTTCTTTTCTTAGTCTTACCTTCAACCTTTGCGGGCCTTTCAACAGAAGCGGCAACAACAACAGCAGCAGCGGCAGCGGCAGCAGAACCATCACCACCACCCATCCACCCACACAGTGGCAGAGAGGCAGCTAAAAGAGGCAGGCAGGAGATAGAGCGAAGCGGTGGCAACTTTCAATTGCGACATGCGGCGACGGAGAGCAGACAGAGCCGAGAGTCTCGTTACGCTCTCTCCCTCTCCCTCTCTGTCTCTCTCTCTGTATCTGTGTCTCTCTGTCTATCTTCCTCTTTGCTGTAAAGTATCTTTACATGACAAACCAGCTTAGCCATGTATCTGTATGTGTGCGTATCTGTGCATTTGTTTGCCTGTCTGTGTGTGTGCTCACGATGTGGGAAATAGTGAAAAAGAGCGCAAGTTGTTCGGACAGACCAGACCAGACCTCAGACCAGACCTCCCCTCGAACCCGCTCTCTGGTGGCTTTTTCAGGCCTAACGCAAAACATTTTGAGGTAGGTTGGGAATAGATTGGCAACAACCTGAGCAGACAAACGCACACACATGCACACATGCACACATCGAGTGTGCGCGGAAAAACTTAAATTTCTCGTTTCGTGGCAAGAAATTAGCAAATGATTTTCCCATTTTTTTTTTCTCAATTTTTTTTGTTTAACCCAAATACGGTTTTGCCTTAGAATTATGTAAGCTGCTGCCTGGCTGCCCGGCTGTCCGGCTGTCCGACTGTCCGGCTGCCCCATATACTATATATTGTGGCATATACCAATCCGTGAAGTATCTTTTAGATTTTGTAATCGCTTTGGGCTCTCTTTTTCCTCTCTCTTGTGGGAGGTTGTAGGTTCGTTCTCTTGGCACTGTCTCTGGAGTCCCAGTCCCCTTATCGCCTTATCGGTTGCCTTATTGATTGGCTTCGATAATAAGAAAGTCAACGCTAGGCAGGGGGTGTGGGGTTGTGGGGTTGTGGGGGCTGTGGGGGCTGTGGGGGACCCCTTCTGAATGCCATTTCTAGATAGATAGATTATGTCAGACCCCCTCCCCCCCGCCATTGCGAACGTAACGCAATTACAAAATCGGATTAACGCAATTCGAGATACTATATTGAGCAAAATGTAGACAGGGGGCTGCAGGGGGTTGCAGCTAGTGTGGCAGTGTGGCACAGCAGTGGTTGCACATTTTGCTCGTGTGTGGCATTGCGGCCATATGGTCAGCGCAGTTCTCGGATCGGGTCAAGGCCCCAACGGCTTCAACTTGTTGCAAAATGCCAGAACAACGGCTCGTATACGTAATGTTCTTATGGGAAACCCAAGCCCCAAAACGAAAAGTAGATGCTAAAACTTTCCACGGGGCTATCCAGGGGGTATTGATCAATTATGCTGGGAATTTCCGAGCAGCAAAACCGATTCTCATGCAATCAACACCTTTAGGGCCCAAAGATGGCGCGTGACAAAAGTAGCATTTTGTCAACCACTAGAAAGTGCTAATTTGTAGCCAAAAACTATGGGAAGTGACCGAATACTTAACGATAATTAGACAAAAACAAACAGAAATCAATATACTGGGGACAAAAGGAAAGAAAACAATCGCCAAAAAGATTATAAAAACGTACATATGTATGTATAAAATAAAGATCCACATAAGCAGCTGACTCAGAGTCAAATTAAGAACAAAAAAAGGTTTATAGGAAATATCGGTAAGCCGAAACGTTTACATTCGATAACTGGTTATGCGGGTTGGGTTGTAAAAATCCCATATATTGTACATACATACATATACGATTCTTATATGCAAATAATTTCAAAGAAATGTATAGCATTTATGGAAACAGTTTTTCGCAGAATGTAGATCCCCGCGAAGCAGTTTTAAGTTTTGAACTGATATTAGAACCCTATATGAAAAACCCCTATATATAATGTACAGATAAATCCACAGATTCGTTTCCTTTTATGCTTAAACACACACACAAACATTTGTACATTAATAATGAATATTAATCTACCAAATTTATATAAAATATTCAAAGTAAAATAATAAAAACAAAAGAATATGATATGCATTTGCAAAGCCATTAAAATGTTGGTTACAAAATCAAATCAAGTTTCAACAATCGCAAAAATAACAATAACAACAAATTAAATATTCAACAACAAATTGGGTCTGGAGGCAAATGCGTCAATCTATATACATATGTACATATGTATGTATGCACCATATATACCCTGCAATAAAACCCATTAAAATAAATAAAAGTACTTAATGACAAATTAAAAAAGATTTCAGCTAAAATGAAACAACACAAACACAAAACAAACGAATATATATTTAGAAGAGAAAAATTACATTATATTTTCGAGATTGATAGATTTTCGAGTATAGAGAAAAAAGCAGAGTCGTAAAAAACAAACGAAAAACAATGCAAACAAAAAAAGCAAAGCAAATTTCTTAATGCGGAAATATTGGGGAAGAATTTTGCATCTGTACGTGTGCGTGTGTACATATACATATGAAATGCATATGTGTCCAAAAATTTAAGGCAAAAAGGCTGAAAAAAAGGCAAAGAAATTGCTTGATATGCATGCCCGTTCCCGTTCCCGATCCCATTCCCATTCCCGGTCCCGTTCGTGTCTGTGTGCATGTCTGTGCGTGTGCAAACAATGAGAATCATGTTTGCTTGTGTGTGTGTGTGTGTGTGTGGCTCTGGCTCTGCGACTCTGCGACTCTGCGCCTCTGCCTATGCATGTACGTATGTATGTGTGCGAGTGTTTGTGGTTGTGTTGTACGCTTTTTGGAAATTCAGTCTCAAGTTCAAGGTCTCGCGGATAACGCACACACACACACACACACACAAGCCATGGCAG